TACCTCTATCAGGACTTCACACATAAGTATTACTCTTGATCTGTATATCTTGTTTTACAATGAAATGAATTCAAAATCTAGACACCTCACAAAAATTTCAGAATGAGCTCCTTTCCTTTTTGTTAGACAAAATAGATTTCTGCAGTGCTCATTTGGAAGGGTGGTCCTGCTCAGACCGGATTTATCCTTGTACCTCCACACAGAATCAAAGGACTTCCCATGTACTGATTTATTTGTTCATCCCTTAAATTAAATATCATGAAATGAAAACCATTCATAATACCACTACCCAAAGACGTTCACTGTTGGTCTTAGCTATTCACAGAAAGTCATCACCTATAACGTGTGTTATAAATAACTTATGCTTCTCAACTTCCTTTTTTTCAAAAAAGTATCCAAATCTTTATACTACTACACAAAGCAAGCCAAAGTTGGTTTCTAAGAACAATTTTTAAATTTCTGAAAACAGTGCTTTATACATTAAAGAATGTTGGACAGTTTTCTGCACCAGAGTTTTAGCGTTTCATTATTTGTCATGCGTGAAGGGATTAGGAAATATGTTTTTCAGATTTAAATTAAATTCAAGGGCTATGGGGATAGCTGAACGAATAGGCTAGATATATTCTTTTCTACAAGCCTAAACACCCTCTTGGGTAAGTTTTCTGCTTTGAAAGTTACTCTGATTTCATTTAGTAGAGTGAAGGGTCCAGAGGTTTAAAGAGTTGTTGTTTAAAAGAAGAACGAAACAATTTAAATGATTCTAAATCATTTAAATATATTACATTAGATTTAATATATTTAAATCAAATTTAATACATTTAAATCTAATGTATTAGATTGTACATTAAAGCACCCAATTTTCCAGTCCAATAAAAATAAGTATGAAAATGGGTGAATGCATCACAGATGTATACCCTAAAGTTTTGTTTAGGTCCTATCTAGGTGTATATATGTAGCACTTAAGTATATGTAAGATGGTCTATTTCAATATGACAATAATAATAAAGTTTAAAGGCACTGTTTATTCCCTTTTTGTTTCTCTTTATTCCATGTAAAGAGGCCTTGTTCTTTTCAGTAAAAGGGAGAACGTCACCATTACAAAAAGTGATTGCAGGGAAATGGTTGGAATCACCAAAAATCTTTGTCAGATGCTACCATATATTAGAAAATTGAATTTTAATGTGTTGACTTAATTCTCACCTGGAAGAGAAGACAGTCCTATCTCTTTATCTCATGCTGACTTTGACTTCTTAACCTTCGGTTTATTTACTATGATTATAATTATTATCAAAATGTATCTTTCAGAATGAGTATAACTGTACCTTGAAAAAAACTTTAAGACAAGTTTATTTAAGCAATAGAGAGAAATACAATAAAGGTTTTGTGTTTATGATGTGAAAGTATAGCAATTAGATTTTAAGGATATCCCTCCCCTGAATGGCCCATATTTTCCTGATGTCTTTACACAACAACATAGAAAGGGCGCAAACACCCTTTTAAAATTCCATATTCTCATTAATTTCATTCATTCAACAGATTTTTATTAACCATCTTCCATGTGCAACACATTCTTCTAGGTCCTGGGGAGTCACAAGAGATGAGAGGAAATATTTGTCCTCATGGAGTTCATATTTCAGAGAGTGTGTTTGAGAAAGTTGCTACTATATAAATTCAATTTAATTTCTTTATTTTATTTATTTATTTTGAGATGGAGTTTCACTCTTGTTGCCCAGGCTGGAGTGCAATGGCATGATCTTGGCTCACTGCAACCTCCGCCTCCTGGGTTAAAGTGATTCTCCTGCCTCAGCCTCCTGAGTAGCTGGGATTAGGCACCCATGACGACACCCAGCTAATTTTTGTATTTTTAGTAGAGACAGGGCTTCACCATATTGGCCAGGCTGGTCTCGAACTCCTGACCCCAGGTGATCCACCCACCTTGACCTCCCAATGTGCTGGGATTACAGGTGTGAGCCACCGTACCTGACCTAATTTAATTTAATAAACATTTATTGACTGACTTATACAGAATTTTCCTATTTCCTATGAATATGAATACTTGAAGAAGATAAAATACATGGTAGTATGTCATCTTTCTATAACATCCCTTAAACTAGTTGCCTCCTCATCTGTGTTTCTATAATACTTCATGTGTGCCTGTATCATAGCAAAGATCATATTGCATTATACTTTTGTGTATGCCTGTTTGTCTTATCCTCAGTGGTCTGTGTGAGGCTCAGGACCCTGTACTATTTATGTCTTATCCTCCTGAAGAGCTCAGTACTTGCCCAAGTGAATGATTGGACTTGAAGAGGATTGAGTATGTAGCTTCTGCCCTCAGAAAATCTTCAGTGAAGAAGGGAAAAAAATAGATAAACAGCCTATTCCTGAAGAGAACCCTATAAGAGACAAGCAATCTTTTATGTAAATGTTCATATTAAGGGAATCTTGATAGAGCAACAGTTTAAAAGAGAGAGGATTGATTTAATATAATAAGTACAGAATGTTATTTATCAACTATGTAGAACAAAAAAAGATAAATTCTCCTGGTATTTAAATAAAACTTGAGGGAATTACAATGTTTGTATATTACAGCTACACAGTCTTATATAAATTAAAGTAAACAAGCCCAGGTGGGAAATAATTACTACATCCGCAGGTAGACAGACATTTACCAAATCTTGGGGGAAAAAAAAAATTTAGAATCTTCTCCCTAATCTGAGTTTCCATATGTTTGAATGTTTGGTGAAAAATAGTCAAAGCATCAAATTGGAGTATCAGCAGGGAAACAGGGGTCAGACACTCTCCCTGAAAGAATTGCCCTTCAGTATCGGATTCCTATTTATCATGTCCTCATTCCTTTCCCCAGTGCCCGTGAATCAGTGTTCCTATACTTTGCCTCAAACAGGCAACATCTTCTAGTTGTTGTTTAACAAAGTTCACCTATATACATGATCTAAATGATGCCATCTCTTTAGATTCACCAGTTTAGGCATAAACCATCTCATGGGGAAGTATGTGAGAGTAGGTACCTGCAAATTTTGCATTGCCTATAACATGTAATAGATTTTTGACATACTCTATTTCTGGGTCTCTTTTCTTGAATGAGTCAGAAAGTGGGTGAGCAAGTGAGTAAGGAATAGAAATTAGATGCACAGAATTCTGCAATTTCAATGAGAATATTTGTTTACTGAATGCCACTTCATAGATGATCATGGCCTACGACTCAGAAGAATTTCATGGCTACTGAAAAACTGCTCTTCTTGTGGTCAGAAATGCCGCCATTGTCTCACAAATAAAATAAGAATTTTAAATGAGAAAGAAATACAATATACTTGGGATACTCAAGAACAGCAAGAAGAAGGCGAAGATTGTGTCCTTACTTTCCTTGGCATAGCCGTTTAACATCTTCTCTACCTTATCCCACCCCACCCTTACTCCCAGAAAGACACTTTTGAGGAACACATGGAAACTGTTAATGTTTTTCGAATAAAAACATGCTTAGTGCATAGAATGCCTGCAGGACCTTTCATAGAAATTGACCATTCCTAGATTCAAATAAGAGGCTGAATAGATTTAAGGGTGTTTTGTGAATTGTCATGTTAGCTGCAGAACACAGCACTTTCAACATAGAGTGAGACTTTTCTTCAGGAGAAGAGCTAGGGAAGCCACTGTACGTTTTAAATATTTTTGTTTTTAACATACATGGTTTATATGGTTTTGAGTCATTGTAGAAACAGCCTGTGATCAGGCCCCAAATTATTATCACTGTTCATATTGCCATAGGGACATAACAAGGTAACCTATCTCAAAAAAGCCGAGTCTGCAGGGCTTAATTATTTGCTTGTCTCAGAAAGCTCTGTAATTTACCTCTTGAGGTTTTGACCTGTAATGGTCACCTTCTTCTTATGGTACTTAAGGTGTCCATCTGCTTGGCCATCCTAATGCTGTTGATTTGACTGTCAATGAAAACATTTGTTTACATTCCTTAACTGAAAAGAATCTTCTTACCGCACTGTGGCACAGGTAACAGCGACTGATAGGAAAGTGCCACTGCACATTTTTTCCCTGAAGATTAGGTAATGAGCAGTTGTGACCATGACTCCAGCCTGACCCAGCTCGAATGACATCTTATTTTAAAAACAGTAAGAACCATAAAACTCTTCGGAAGGCATCTTGGTTTCCACTCTAAATGATGGCAGTTGTAGAACAATTAAAATCTATGACTTTTTACATTGCAAAGAAGATGTTTCTGTTTGCTACTTTTGGCATTCTTTTTCCTTATAGCAGGACAAAATCAAGTTATTTATATATATATAATCTTGACATATATGTGGATCAAAATCAGATTTTATATATATATATATAATCTTTACATATATATGGAGCTTTCTGTGCATAGAGTTTAAACTTTGACTCAATAGTATACACCCATATATTACGGTCGCCTTTCAAAAAAATCAGTCTAAAAATATTATCTCAAAAGAAATGTAAAATTAAAACAAAAATTGATTCCAAAGCTTTTCAGGCTACAAGTCATTTTGATGAATGCCTTCAGCCCTGTACTACTGCCAACTGTGTCAATAACAAGTGAAACTATCTCAGACACTATTCCTAAACATTTTTGTAGATATGGGGGAAAAGTTTTAAGATATTTATACATCTTTACTTTAAATATTGCAATTGTTAGAAATTTGTAGTTACCAAATGTGAAATATCAATTTAATTAAAGATAGTTTTCATCAATGGGTTTTGATCAGGATAAAGTCTCTTAGAATGTTTAATGTGTTTAGTTGGGTTACAAACTGGTTAGTTTGTTTCCTCACTGGTATGTATTTCCTATCCTTAGAAAGTTGTAAATCTGAGTGAGTCTCTTAAAGAAATGAAATAAAAGTCTCTCTAGAAAGTAAGAGGCATGCTTTGTAAGCCACAGAATCACTAAATTTCATTCCACTGCTGGTTTTCAACTGGAATACACTTTCAACTGTTGTCTTTTAATGTAGACCTTTAATGCCTGAGGAATGCAGAGCCACGGTACAACCTGCACAGACACTGACTTCAGAGTGCTCCAGGCTCTGTCGAAACGGCTACTGCACCCCCACGGGAAAGTGCTGCTGCAGTCCAGGCTGGGAGGGGGACTTCTGCAGAATCGGTTAGTATTTTTGTTTTCACCTGAAAAGGACTGGGGATGAGTCAATCCTTAGGTACTCAAGAACTCAACACCGATTGTTTCTTCTACAATAATATAGTGTTCAAAAGTATTTAGCTATTTACAATACTATTAATGCTCATCTGTTTCTGAACTTGTAAGTAAAATCTTGCTCATTTTCTTAATGTAAACAATTCACTTATGTAAGTTAATTATAAATATGCAAAACCTTTAAATGACTGAGTCCTTTCAAAAAGTAAAAAATGCAAATAGCACAACTAGATAATCTCTGTGGGCCTCTCAATCCTGGGTTCTGAGATTTCACACTAGCCAATGACTTAGTGTTTGCCAAACCCCTCTCGAAGCACTCGCATTTTCCAGACACCCCGTAAATGCCCTCCCTGCCTTTACTGCTTGCTTTCCTACCACAGCAGACTAAAAACAGGGCTTTTCAGTGGGTGTTATTAAATAAAAGGGGAAAATGCAATTATCTGGAGACATATTATGAGATTTTTTCATGCTTTTTGCCGCTCCCCTGTGAACCATCAACTAGGTGTGCATCTGCTCAGAGAGAGCAAAGGAGATTTATTCCAGGGTTGTTCTAGCCTATAACTTGATAGTTCCTCAATTATGTGCAGTGATGTTTAAGTTCTACTTGGTGTAAAGTCAGAAAATTCGATAAATTTAGAAACCTAGAGTTTAAAATGTGTATGTTGAAAATGCATAATTAACAATCAGCATATACCATCACTTAGAAAAGATTTTGATCTCGGTTATTTCAAATATTAAAATACTTATTGCCAATGAAAATTAAAATATCAGATTAACATTTAATATTATTTATTCATAAATGCTATCTTTTTGTTTGTCCTCAAGATGTATTTCAAAGAATTATAACTATAACTTGTCTATTTTTATATTGCCCAACAAAAATAACCAACATTTAAAACCAAACATAGAGGATACATTTTACACTTAAATTGCTTCAGCATTAATAACATTATGTGTTTGATTAATACTATGGTTATGTATCTAGGAAGGAATTATCAAAATTAAAACTCAACAGAAATGAAGTAATCACATTATTTAAAACAAATGCTTACATGTTATTGACCCATCCTCTCTACCTTTTTGTTAGTTGACCAAAAATATGAGAATCAGTATTCAAATGTAATGATATTCAAATTCCTGCTAATATATTGTCTTTCTGCTTTCTTTGCTGCCTGACAATATCTACTTTCTCTGCTTTTTTTTTTTTTTTTTTTTGAGATGGAGTCTCTTTCTGTCGCTAAGGCTGGAGTGCAGTGAGGCAATCTCGGCTCACCGCAACCTCCGCCTCCTGAGTTCAAGTGATTCTCCCACCTCAGCTTCCCGAGTAGTTTGGATTATAGGTGCCCACCACCATGCCCTGCTAATTTTTGTATTTGTAGTGGAGATGGGTTTTCACCATGTTGGCCAGGCTGGTCTTGAACTCTCAACCTCATGTGATCTGCCACCTTGGCCTCTCAGAGTGCTGGATTACAGGTGTAAGCCACCATGCCCAGCCTCTCTGCATCTTTTAGTAACAGAATATAACATACAGTGTCCATTCTGTTATATTCCCTGCTTTGCATTTTGCCTAATCTCTTACGTTACCTGAAGCCTGCTAGTAACAGCGTGTTTAAATGAGGGTGAATGAATTATCTTGAATACAGTTGGCATTGTACAAAGCTTAATAGATAACTAATAATAAATTGTGATATAAATGAAAATAGACATACATTGAGTTAACATAAAGTTTTACTCCATGAGGTACTTTCATTTTTACACTGAATCAATTTAAATAGTTTGAATATATAACGTTCACCAAAACTATTCTATAAAAATAATCTGTTTATTTGGGATGTTTTGGACCCAATCAAGAATTTTATTCACGTACTCACATTGTTTACTCATCTCCCACAGATTTAAAACATAAAATTGTTTATTTTCTGCTTATTTTTTCTTTTCCGCGTGTCAAAAACAGACCCCTGGAATTTGATTAATGTATTTGAAAGGTTAAAATAACCCTGTCTTGTCAAAACATAGGGAAATGTATTGAAGGAATTTGATTCCATCCACAGTGACTGTACTCCCCAGATTTAATCAGAAAATGGCAATTTATATATCCAATTTTATGTCTCATTTTAGCAGTATATCTTTATATTCCCCATTTATATTGTAGTGGCAAAAATTCTTCAATGAATAAATTCTGTGCTGTAGGGTAACCCTGAAAAGGTTGGCTCAGAACATCCTTTGTTGGCCAATTGCCCTGACTCCAACAAGGGACTTCAAAATGTCATCAGAGAGCAAAGCATATGCTGTCTGCCCCCTGGAAGCAAGAGGAAGGAAGAATCCAAAGGAGTTTATATGGTGGATATTCCACCTAACCAAAATCCAAAACTGACTGTTCCTTTATGTTACATTGGAGATGCTTGAGCCTCTCTGTCTCCCCCTCAGGCTGGGTCACTCCCATGTTGAGATCTTACCTTGAAGGAATGGGAACAGAGTTTGCGAGGCCCTCTGTAGAGAATGCTCCTGTGGAGCAGAGATTTTGAAGGACTAAAATCTCCATTTTAAATAGAGTTAATTTTGCAAAGGGTTGCAACTGTTTCTCATGATCTCTGCTTCTCTAGAAATGTCTCTCGTTCTCTGCCGAGTTCAGACCTCCAAATAACTATGGGTGTAAAAGCGCGTTTCCTACTTGTATATTTATCTTTCAGATCATTTTGTAACTATCTCCCTCCTTTTTTCCCTCGCTCCCCTTATTCAGCAATATTTGTAGGTCTCATGCTCAGTCCTGTTTCTGACATACAGAATGAGAGTGTGATGTTCTTGCTCTTTTTCTCTCCCAGCAAAATGTGAGCCAGCATGCCGTCATGGAGGTGTCTGTGTTAGACCGAACAAGTGCCTCTGTAAAAAAGGATATCTTGGTCCTCAGTGTGAACAAGTGGACAGAAACATCCGCAGAGTGACCAGGGCAGGTATTCTTGATCAGATCATTGACATGACATCTTACTTGCTGGATCTAACAAGTTACATTGTATAGTTTCTGGGACTGTTTGCATATTCCCTTCCAATGGGCATTTATTTTTTAGCCTGTCATTAAAAAAAAAAAAAAGACTGTTATCCTGCTACACACTCCTGTGATTTCATTCTCTTTTATTAATTTAAAAATGATTTCCAGAAATGTGCAGATCCTCTGTGTGTATGTCAGCATGTTTGTTCACATATGCACATACACATACTCATAATCCCTATATGTGTTGTTGCTTAACAGATGATTTTTAAAAATATATACTTCCTTGGGCAGAGTAATTTACACAGAAATTCCACTGTAAATTGATAATGGATTTTTTATGTCACTAGAAGAGATTATTTGACTTCCCAGGAATTTTCTGTCAGTAATCACTAAAGTCAACTTTAATAGAGTTTTGAAACATTACTGTGCAATCTGATGGATCTAATAAAAAAGGTAATATTTTTATATTAAGGTACTATACTAGGAGAGAATGTTTCAGAACTCCCTGATGAATTTCTAAGTGAGCAACTTGATATAAAATTGTAATCTTCATTTTTGTCAGTGTATCCAATTACAGAATGTTACACTTACCTTTTTATTGGCTGAGAAATCTGATTACTTCCTCTTAATCTCAAGATCGTTTTCAAGTGTTGTATAATTAAATCATAACAGCATATTTTAAAATCAGTCTTCCTAAAAAGTCTGCTTTCATTGTATATTTTATTTAACAATAGGCACTGGGTTTGTGTTACATATTTATATATTTTATTTTATTTTTATAATATAGACATCACCTAGATGAAACACCTTTACCCTGTCCTGTAAAACACTAAAGTTACATTTTTCACCAACTTAATTGGAAAGAAGGGGAGTGAGAAAGCAAACAGTCTTTAATGTGCTGTGGATCTAATCTAGCAAGGTATCCTTGTGCCAACATGTAATCATTAACGACGGAAGAAAAAGCAAGAAAACAGCCAATTCTTATAAAATTCCAGCATTAAACATTTGTAAAGTGCTTTTCACCATAGCAAGACTGTCAGAGTCCATGTTATTAGAATGTTGCAGATTTCCACTGAATCGAACCTCACTGGAGAAGAGCTCACTTGTTTTTTTAAAAATCTTGGCTATGTAAGCTGTTACCTGTACAAATTTTTAACATAATAATTCTTGCCAAATACGACTTTAAATGTACGTGTTCCTTCAGAACTCAATGAAAATATTCTTTGGTTAATGTATCAATAAATTTTCTGTAAATGTTCTGTTCAGGGTTTTAAAGAGATGACATGTTCTGACTTAAAACTGCAAAAAGTCTAGTAGATATTTTTCTTCATGGTTTTCAAAGCCAGCTCTCCACGTTTGGATTTTAACAAAATATAAGGCCTCTTTGCACTACTGAAAAAACACATCTACTCATGACAAGTGCATACCCACTATGGCTGTCCTTCTTCTGTAAACATCCATTCCTCTAGAATCTAAATTGTAGAGCAGTATAGATTATGCAGCGCCGGCTGACTTTCTAAACCTGCTCCTTACCTTTAGGAATACAGGCCTCAATTTAAAAAATACATTGTAGCTAGTATTTCTCTACTGTTTTAAGGTGAGAGATTTGCAATTAAAGCCCAGTAAGCATTTATATAGAAGCCACAATGTAGAAAGATTGGTTAAGTACACTGCTCTTGTCTTCCATATATGATTACTTAAGTTTCAAGTGACCTCATGCCAAATGGAAATGGGTTGAGAAATCTTGGTTCAGTGCTTAGTGAACAATAGCCTGCATTAAAAAGTGCATGCATAATTTTGCACAATTTAGATTCAATTGACAGTCTATTCAAAGAAGTCTCAGGATTAAATGAGCATGGAGACCAAATTGCCCTCTTACCCCAGAAAAGGGGTGGTCCCTTCTAGTCACACTAACACTTCATTGGCCCAACAGTGTGACAAATCTTGCAATGAACCATGCAGTAGCCTGCATCTGTAGGTTAATAGCAATCTTTTGTCTCCATTGCTTTCTCTTCATAGCCCTTTTACTGAATTCCATCACAGAAAGTTTTACAATTAAAAAAAAAAATGTCCTGACAACCATTTTTGTAAATGGACCTTACCATCTAATCGTCCCTTATTCAACGTGGGTGACATTAACAAAATGTGAACTTCTTGTGAGGGAGCCAGCTGTCTAAATCTGTCAAATCGTGCAGTTTTATTACACATTCTCCAATTCTTCCTAGCTTCCCTGAAAACAATAAGGATACTGCTACATATTCAGTAAAATCTAAAAAAATCAAGCATTTCTTCTTACATCTTTAAACTTTCCGTCTCCTCCCCAAAATAAAAGGTGTTCTATTGCCATTAGTTCTACTGTTTTAAAATATCTATATTAAGTTGACCAGGCCCAGATTTTTTATACAGCTTTTTCCCAAGTGAAAGATTTTCAAGTGACTTAGAAAAACATATGTGCCCCAGGTGTCACTGCCTTTCCTTTTGTGAGTCGTTAGAATAAAAGACCAAATTCTTCTCAAGAGAAGATAGCAAGATCCACGGATATTAAACCAAGCAAAGAAAGTAAAGTCATTGGAGTCATTTCTTTCTGTTCTTAGGAGAAAAGTAGATAGCACTGGCTAATTGATGGCAACATATTTTAAATTAAGTGGTCAATTCAAAAAATCTCTTTGACCTTTTCTTTCAAGTAGATTTTTTAAATGCATGACTGGAGAATTATCTTCAATGATTCATGATGAGAGGCAGGTAGGAATTGGTTAAGAAGTAATAGCTAGGAAAAAAATATTGTTTAATCACAAGAAAGGCAACATCTGCTCAGGTCATAAAGCACACAATCTCAAATGGAAGAAATAAAGGTTCTTCGTAAGAATACTGATGCATAAGATAAAGACAAAATAATGCAAAAGAAAAATGTATATTATTATTCCCTTGTCCATTCTCAAGTTTAAGCTGTGGTTGTCAGTTGAATGTGAAATGACATTATAGTTGTTTTAAATGGTTGGAAATAACCTTTCTACTACTGTTTCTGCCACACTGTTGTCCTGGTTCATAAAACCTTGTTTTCTTGACAGTTATTTAGGTAATAAAAGGAACACCAATTGGCAGATCTTTAAGTGAAAAGGAGAAAAGATTTAAGAAATTGAGTGATGGCTAAAAGTGCTTCCATCCATAACTTTTTTTCTTGGATTTTTTTTCAATGTAATTATTGTAAAACATATTTTTTATTTTATCACAAAGAATACTCAGAAGTTTTCTCAGATTGATGAGTATCTCATAAAGAGTAGAGAAACCAACACATACAATATATACACACAACCTAAATAGAAAACTGTTCTCTTTGTTATTTGCATGCCCCAGCGCAGTTACTTCTTCCCTATTTAGTTCTTTGAAAATAATTACAAAATAGTATACTAACAATTTTAATCCATTTGCTGTTTTTTGTTTTGTTTCATTTTGTTTTTGTTTGTTTGTTTTTGTTTTTGTTTTTGAGACGGAGTCTTGCTCTGTCACCCAGGCTGCAGTGCAGTGGCACGATCTCGGCTCACTGCAACCTCCGCTTCCTGGATTCAAGCAATTCTCCTGCCTCAGCCTCCCGAGTAGCTGGGATTACAGGCACCCGCCAGTATACCCAGCTAATTTTTTGTGTGTTTTTCGTAGAGACAGGGTTTCACCATGTTGGCCAGGCTGATTTCAAACTCCAGACTTCAAGTGATCCAGCTACCCAGGCCTCCTGAAGTGCCAGGATTACAGGCGTGAGCCACCATGCCCAGCCTCCATTTGCTTTTGATATTGTTTTTATCTCTGAGTTATAAACTATATAAGCTTTACCAGGTGTAAGGTGTGAGGTTAGATGCTACATCTAGGAGCGTTCAAGATATACATTAATTTAAACTTTTATTAATCCAACTTTCCACTAAAACTCTTAGCTTTGAAACATAAAAGACAAATCAAGCCCAGATTTTTAGAGGAAAGCTAAGGTATACCATTGGCAGTTGTAGTTTTAATTGTAGTTGACTGATTAACCAATTAGTTTATAAAATGTTACCTATAACGTCTATGTTCTCTTCCTCTCCCTCCCTCCTTCTCTCTCTCTCTCTCTCGCTCTCTTGGCTAATATATATGTGCATGTGTGTGTGTATATACATGTATATATATACACATACATATATATACATATACACACATACATATATATATTCTTTTTCCTTTTAGCCACTTCCCTCTCCTACATTTTCTATCGGTTTTGCCTAAATAGACGTGTTCTCAATACAACCATGTTGAAGGTATCCTGGGCTAGACTGCTATTGATTTTGTTGGTTATGATCTTTTCTTTGTTTTTCTGAAAAATAGCCTCTCCTGGTTCCACATTTTCTCAAATTCTATGTAACAAAGAAGTGGATAGTAAACAAATGACATGCTAGGCTGATCTATTACAATCATTGAAAGAAATAAGGAAGAGCAGAAATCTCTACCAGTCCA